AAGAGTGTAGCTGAGATAACATAAAGTCTAATACATTTCAGTCATAACCCAATTTTGAGAAACCACCAAAAGCATAAACAAAGCATGAATGACTGAGCAAAAATAAATAAATAAATGAATTCCTTATCCATAATACACTATCATGCATAATAACTCGATACAATCTAAATTCATCCTTGCCCCGTCCACTCTTCTTTTTCACCATTAAACTCCTAAAATGTACTGTTTACACCCCCTCGGCCCGTCTGTGCCCACCCTCCTCTTCCTCTCGGGCTCAGGGTCATTCATCACGGGGCAGGAGTGGGGCCCGGGGCCTGCGGGCTGCTGTCAGGTGCTCACATCGGTCCTTTGTGCCGGCCCGCAAACAAGTGTCGGATCAGCAAAAGTCTATTAAAGGCTGGTGGGCTTTTCACACGCAATTGGCAGCGGGTCACTGACTTCACTGCTCCGACTCTCTGGACCCTCTTTGTGTCGCCGGCGTGCCGTGACAGATCCCGGCAAGATTAATGGTTTTTAGCGAGCATTTCTTTTTTTTTTATTTTCCCCATCTCTCCTCCTCTTCTGCTCATCCGCCTCCGATCACCGCGCTCTCTGTCTCCTAACTGAGCATTATTCACGTTATTGGAGAGTTTGCGCTTTCCTTTCATTTGCCATCGCTTTCCCCCGCAGCCTGCATCAAACTCTGCCAGAACTTTCTGTCAAACTCTAGCAGTATTCGGTGAATTCACGCAATCATAGCAAATCTGTGTTACATTACCGTATTCAAATGTTTTCAAATGTTCTCTCTTTTTCCAGAAGTGTTGGAGAGACTCAGTCAGTTCCTATAAAGTGGAAGACTTCTTGCGTAATTCTCTCTATATAGTGAGATCAGTGCGCTTTAATGCCTCAAATCTGCTCCTGAGCCCAATCTCCAATATTTCAAATAAAGTGTCTTCTGTATTTGAGTACGCAGACAATATTATTTGTATGTCATACAATAAAGTAGCCTATCTACATTTCACAGAATTTTGGATTGGGGCAAAATATGAAGTACATAATTCATAAAAGATAAAAAAGATCATTTGTATTACATTTAACGTGTGCGCTAAGATTTTTTTTTTTTCAGCATATTACTGCTGCCATGGAGACAGCACACAAAACTTTTGTTTAAACAGTTTTAGTCAAAGCAGATGTTATTTTGGGCTATGTTTGCTAAATGTCACGAATAATATGCCTACAAATCTCTTGAATTGATAATATAATGAATATGCAATTTTTTTATTTTATTTATTTATTTATTTTTATTTACCGCTTTTAATTTTTTTTTTTATGAAATTAAAGCTTGGCTTATTCATGAGTGAAAATCAAGTGCATCCGATTATACGAAAAATAAAGCCCACAAAGAAATAATGATCGTTTAATTCGGCACAAAGTCAAGCTGGAAAAAGCCACATTCTGATTTTTAGTTTTTTCCCCCAATCATTTGTATTTTATAATATCCCTGTATTTTCTCTTTCACGTGGATTCGTGTAGTAGATTACGGATATTAATAATAAAGACAGGATATAACGATGACTGATGATAATCAGTTGCTGATTATCATGTAGGTCAGACAGAATCCTTAAAGCAGAGAGATAAAGCATAATTCCATGTCTAATAGCTGTATCCTTAACTTTTCCTTCATCAGTCACTAGCCTTCTTTGATTGACAGCGTCGTATTTTACAAAGTCGTGATCAAAACACGTGCACTGAATTGTTTCTTCACTATAACAGCTGAAAAGGTCTGTATAGCTAATTGTGTTAATAGACGTGCATTTTTGATAATACCGCGCATTTATCTTTTTAACGTGTCGCAGTGTGAGAACAAAGTGTCCGATGCTGTAATAAACTGATGTCAGAAACAGTAATGCATGCAGTTTTCAAATAAAACCCAAGTTGTGATTGCAATCACAAATACATCTTTGCTTTGTGGGTCAATATAGTGCGTATGTCACATGTCAATCAGAACAAATGTGACACTTTTTATTTTCACGGAACGTTTCTTTATTTATTTACTTATTCGTCAATTAATTCATTCATTCATTCATTTAGTTTGTTTGTCCTTTGCTCGTTTGTATTAAAAACGTGCTTGATTTAGTCTCTGCATGTTGTGTCCACTAGGGGCGTCATACTCTTGTAAATCCGTCGACTGCTCGTTGTAAGTTACTGACTTTGTGAAAGTGCATCGCTCTCTGATTTCATCCGGCGTCATTTTATATCAAATCAACTGCACTCGGACTTGTCTGTCTTCTTTTCGGTACTTCGATAGCATATATCAGAGCAATGCAAGTCTAAAAATGTGTCTTGATTCCTGTATTGTTATTATCAACTGCTGTCCTGCTAGTCTATTCATTTTCGTTTTTTTTTTAATGCCATGTTTGAAGACCTTGCTGCTTCCATCTGAAGAGACGAGACGTCTAAGGATATTCATATTAGTCATTTTACACACATTTATAAGTTGATAATGTTTTATAGTGTAAACAATTTCGCTTATAATGTAAACATGTTTTGAATCTCATGAGTAATTATTTTTAAACGCTTTCCATTGATAATTCATTATTATTATTTTTGTTTAAAGATGATAACACTTTTTCATTGGTTTGAAACGGAAATAAAATGTGTGCATTTACTTTTAAATATGAAATGCCATGACATAACTTCGGCAGTACGAGTAAGAATCTTGCTGAGAAGTTCTGTCCCGTCTCGATAGTAACGCTAAATTGGTTCAAGTCTTTATAGTCGTGTTTGTTACATATTGATAACCAGCTCTCATAATAGATGATGTATTCTGTTATCCACTATACTCTATACTTCTAGAAAGCAGAGCACAAGCCTTTTCGCAACCGCCCATTACCTGCGTGTGTCCCAAGAGGAGGATGGCGAGGAAACCAGAATACTCTCTCTCTGTCTGTCTGTCTCTCTCACCCTCTTTCCCCCATAAACACGCGCGCATTTAATATGAAATCTGCATTTTCCCCAAAAGTCTTCTGCACTGTTATAAACTAAAAACAACAAAAGTGCACTCGACTAGGCTTGTCATCATACTTGCAGATATGCAATCATGAGTTACAATAAGATCATCAATATTTAAATATTTCATACTTATCTTAATGTCCACGGATGAATGTCCTATGTCCTTATGAGCGGTAAAAATAAAAAAAAGCAGCCAAACCCGCCATCCTTTCCAAGCCTGAGGCCTGGGACGTTCACCGGCATGCGGTCCACAGCGTCTCCCTTTGACAACTGCTCTATGAAGCATCTCTGGAGCTGATTTTATTTCTCTTATTCATTCCTAAAAATCGTAGGATGGGAATCTCATTAGGCCAAATAAGCGTGCATCAACACTTTTCCCGCTGTCCATAAGCAAGAGGATCACTTAATAGATCATTAACCACCAATATGCTGCTGACATGAGAGTTTTTTATCATCTCGTCTCCATTAGAGAGAGAAAAAGCAGTAGCGGCGAGTCTGAGAGAATCCGAGCGCATGACTGTACGGGCCCGGTGCCGCGTGATGGGGCCCGGTACCGGCAGACTGGACCGGTTTCCTCCACTGATTGATGGTCTTTGGAGTGACGCAGTGTGGTATCTGGCTTTTAGGGGTTTGCATAAACTTCGATGAAAGAATGAACAGTTGGCGTGTCCTCGTTGACGTGATGCGATGCCGTGACATGTTGTATGACGTGAGTAAGTAAACTTCGCAATGGCCGACGAAGGAACAATTAATGAATTAAAATAATACTACAACTTAAATAGTTATATATTCAAATAAAAATAAATATATTAAATGTGAAGGGATACGTAAGTATTGGTAAGTGACGGTTAAATAAAGTAAACATATTCTTTGGTGCACTTTTTATTTTGCTGAATAAACTGACCGGACTGATTGTATCGGTCATTTTTAGCAGGATCATTTCTGCGACTGTTTCTTAAAGTTAATTCTAATAATACCTGATCAAAGACGGCACGACATAATATTAAAAGGCAAATCGTAAAATGCATTTTGCGGCAAGAGTCAAATAGGGAAAAATAAGGAAAGGATGCCATGTAAATATGGAATAAGTCTATGAAATAGGAATACAAACAATATGCCTTTACTATAAGGTTATTGACAATATACTTACTGAAATCGCCTATATTTAAGCAGTTTTAATAAATACTTAATGTGTTTGTGTATATGACTTGTGCATAACAAAAATAATCAATAGTCTTAAACACAGCGATGTAGCCATGCCTGTTATGAAAGATTTAGTCAAAACACTCGTTGATGCACAATGCGTCTTTTACTCGAAGACAACAGTTTTAGGGGTCAACTTTTAAGATAAAAGATATGCAAAATATTCTTACAATTTATTCACAGATAAAATCACTTCCATCGTATAGTCGTATCGCCCTACTTAATGACTAGTGGGAGCACGAGACGAGCGCGCGGCAGCCACAGGAGGGCAGCGTTGGGTGAGTTTTCGTGAATCTAGCGTCACCCGAAGCGCAATACCAGCCTTTCACTTCAGCTTGTCTTGTTGAAAATTCAAGAGTTAATACATGTCGCAATAAAACATAAACGACAATTGTGAAGAAGTATTGCGCAAATGTTGGCTGATGTAACAACCTGCTGTTGCATGTCACAGACTAATATCTTTTTAAAATAAAACACTTTCACAAACCATCTCGAGAGTTTGTTTTCGTTTTAAATGTCCAGTGAAATTAATCTGGAATCCATGTTGTTTAACATTCAACTATAAATAACAAATCTGGATGCAAGAGCATAAATGGACTTTTCATAAGAATGTGACGTTTTGAAAATACGCCCAGTTACAGTATGTTGTACTTTGTATGTAGTACAGAACAAACGGCTTAATACCAACAAAATACCACTCTCACTTTCTTCATCCCATCAGCTGACAACACACAAACAACGATCATTATGCTAATTCTCCAGGTCTGATTGGTCGCCAGGATCCCCTGACGTCACGCGCGCGTAGGCTATAACAGTGCAGAGGGCTCTGGCGTCCTGCTACAGTCTGAATACTCAGGAGTGAGTGCGAGCTGAACTCTGCGGTGCAGAGCTGGAAAAACACAGCACCCATCCACCTCAGCGCTGCTTCACTGGCTTAAGGACATCATTTGGAGTATCCGGGATCGGGACGGGAGCCCTTGTCCGGCACTCATTTTGTGTTGAGTTCAAGTGTGGCGACGGGACGCGCGCGAGAGACTTGACTTTCTCCAGAACTGTCCAAAGACTGCAGCTGTCGAGCTCTGTGCGTCCATATGAGGCAAATGTCTTTTGCAGTGCATTAGTCCAGAAAGTTGTTTTGTTTTCCCGCTTTCTCCTGTTTGAACATTTCGAGTGAGTCTGCATGCTTCAGCGCTCGAGCGCATCGCGTTCAGAGACCCATCCAGAAAACTGCATGCGCAAAGAGGGGGAAGAAAAGCAAAAGTCGAGTTTTGCGACGCTGGTAAACACTTTGCTGAAGAACAGGGACACGATGAGCGGCGATCTCGCCATGGGGCCCGAGCTGCCCACCAGCCCGTTGGCGTTGGAATATGTCAATGACTTTGATTTGATGAAATTCGAGGTGAAGAAAGAGGCCTTGGCGGCGCACGACCGCTCCAATATACGGCAGTGCAATCGCCTCCAGCCGCAGGGCTCCGTGTCCTCCACTCCAATCAGCACCCCGTGCAGCTCCGTGCCGTCCTCCCCGAGCTTCAGCCCCACGGAACAGAAGAACCATCTGGAGGAGCTGTACTGGATGCCCAGCGGCGCGTACCCGCAGCAGATCGACCCGCAGACGTTAAGCCTGACGCCCGAAGACGCGGTGGAGGCTCTGATCGGTGCCACGGCCCACGGGCACCCTCCGCCCCCTCACGTGCAGCAGCAGTTGCAGGCAGGAGGCTTTGAGGGATACAGGGGCGCGCATCACCACCACGGCCACGCGCATCAGCAGCAGCAGCAGCACCACCAATACGGCGCGATCCCCCATCACCCCGACGACCTGCAAAGTCACCCTGGCGCCCACGGCCACCACCACCATCACCACCACCACCACCACCACAGTCAGGACCCCGACAGCCCTTCTCCTACCTCGCCCGGGTCCCACCAGCAGCTCCACCACCGTCACCACCACCACCCCGGCCAGCAGGGTCACCACGGCGTGGGGGGCGGCCTGAGCGTGGAGGACCGCTTCTCCGACGACCAGCTGGTGTCCATGTCCGTACGGGAGCTCAACCGACACCTGCGGGGCTTCACCAAGGACGATGTGATCCGCCTGAAGCAGAAACGCCGGACCCTGAAGAACCGGGGCTACGCGCAGTCGTGCCGCTTCAAGCGTGTGCAGCAGAAGCATGTGCTGGAGAACGAGAAGACGCATCTCATCAACCAGGTAGAGCAGCTCAAGCAAGAGATCAACCGGCTGGCCCGAGAGAGAGACGCCTACAAACTCAAGTGCGAGAAGCTGAGCGGAGCGAACGGGTTCCGCGAGGCCGGATCCACGAGCGACAACCCGTCCTCTCCAGAGTTCTTCATGTGAGTGTGTGTTTCCTATGCCTGAGAGACTTTGCGCTCATTCAGATAACAGCAGTACTCATAGTAGAAGAATAATCCACAAGAAATAATAATCTCATATGTAATCATCGCCACCGAATTTGGCAACTAAAATGCGAAGAACATGTTAGAATGTTTTCTGGGAATGTAGTTTAGTTGCTTGTAGTAGCTACTTTTACCCCTTTCTTAGATATCTCACAACAAAAGAAAAGCGAAGAAGAACTGGCTTTTGTACTTAGGATAACTTCAGATAAAACCTTCTTTCCATCATCTGGTTTGTTCTCGGTTGTTCAGGAAAAATTAAATAAAAAAAAAATTGTGCTGAGCGGGGAGAGAAACTTTGGACTTTTTTTTTTCCACTTGGCCAGAAAAGTTGAGAGAACCACAATATGCAAAACCTCCCTTTCTTCTCCTGTATAACCCGCCTGAGTGAGGCGACGGGGGAACTTTATGCAACATCTCATTGGTTTATTGCCTGCTTGGTTATATATAGTTATATATTAAAAAGAAAATGAAAAAAACGACAAAAACAAACACATAAATCTGCATTAAGATATTAATCCTGCATGCTGGACATGTATGGTAATAATTTCTATTTTATACACTTCTTTCTTTCTTTCTTTCTAGTCATTATGAATCATAAAGAGCATGTTTTTGATCTTTAGCTCTTTGTTGGGGATATGAGACTGGCTCTCCGGTCGTCCATTGTTTGGGATCATTTGGACTTGTAAATATATGCAACAGCAAACCTACAAACCGACATCGAAGAGCTGATTGTTTTCCAAACTTTTCTGATTAGTTTCATGTTTTGGGAATGGATTTCCAGTAACGGGCATTTTGCAGTTGCATTTAAAGCAAGCAAACTTTGTAAAAGAAGCGCACTTTCTGGGGTAATTATTTTGGTATTGGCAGAGCTTTTGATTGTTTCTTTGTTTTAGCAGAAACCGCCTTTAAGGAAACATGCCGCACACGTACGTATTTTTCTTCTTCTTCTTCTTCTTCATGCAAGCTGTTGCATAATCTATTGCTATTCTATAATATAAGCAATACGTATAGGTCGTATCTTTTTTGATGGATAGGATTTCAACGAATGGGCACACTTTCATCGACATTTTTTTGAGCTATATGAGCTGCCAGTTTTATAAACCAACATTTCAAAATGTAGTTATTATAATCCAGCTCGAGGGTGTAGGCTTCCTAAATCAGGGGTTTGTGTATTATTGCCTAACATGAAAACTACGCATGCATTTCAATGGAGAGTTTCAATGATCAATGTTAAATGTTTTCCTTTATTTTTTTTTCCTGCCGGTCAGTAAAAAAATAAGGGATTCAGGTTCTGCATAATCTCAAAATGAAAATTATATGTCTCATGTTATTGTTCTGTTTATTATGATTTTTTTTGTTTTAATTTCTTTTATTTGTTTTATTATTATGTCGAGATTCTGGTTCTGCTGGCCAGATGCATAGTTTTTATTTTAATGATTAAATTAACAAGCTGTCAGATCATATTGAATAAGCATGGTGCTTGCATCTAAGAAATATTGTTAAGAAGTCATGCATTTAACAATCTTTTTGGTTTATTACTGATTCAACTGTGTTGAAATCAAATGTAAACTGAAGCAGCGGGTTGTTGTTTTGTTTGTTAATTTCATGTATTGTGAGGGGATCAATTTTCAAATCTGTTTATATAAATGGAAAAAAAAAAGAATAGAGTTCAATTCGGACTGTTCCATTCAGGCTGGTTTCTGTTTCGTTTTTGCTGTTTTTGGAAGAAATGGTTTCTTATTTTGCTTATTAAAGTCCGTGAAATGGCATTGATTTCTTAGCCACTCATTTTATGCGTCAATTTCTGTGTCTGTCAAAGTTACGCAACATTTCGGTTTACTGTAGGCTATGCCGCATTGTTATCACGCATCACTGGAATCCAGTAATCAATTAGTCATCAATCAACCTTTATTCAAAATTCGACTGAGGAACGATATTTCCGTGGGATTGTTTGAGCGGGTGTTGTCCTGCAGACTGTCTCTCGCTGAACTTTGAGCTAAACGACCCCACATGCAGAAATGCCCTCTCATTATTAATCAGTATTTGAGAATTAAACTTAACTTGTGTGTGTGTGTGTGTGTGTGTGTGTGTGTGTGTAGAGGCAATTCCTTTATAAAAAAAAAAAAAAATTCAGAGGTTGAATACTTGCCATTAATTTATTGCGCGTTATTTAAATAGGCTATGCAATATATTAAGGACGTTAAGGAAGAAGAAGAAAAAAACTAAAGAAAGAAAGAAAGCTAAAAGCAGAAGCTCTGTGTGTTTAGACCTTCAGTTTTGGTGCGACCTGCAGGATTTGCAGCGCCTCGCGTGCTGACTCCAGCAAAAATCTAGCGCGCACGTGCGCTCGGTAAAATGAGATCTTTGACCTTGCGCTCGAAGCCTAGACTGTGAGAACAGAACAATTAACCCTTCCGACACCCGATACAGCAAACATTTTCATATTTCAAACTAATTTAATGACTAGTGTGGATATTTTGGTAGTATATATATATATATATATATATATATATA